TGGCTCAAAAAGACAACAGGATAACAGGTCCTCGGTGGCCTCGGACCCACGGCAGCACCTGGCCCCGACACTGGGCTCTGTTTGCAAGACGTGACCCTGGGGGCCAGTGGCCACGTGTGCGTGGGATCTCTTGGTATCGTTTCTTACAACAGCATGTGTCTACAGTTATTTGAAAATACAAAGGTAAGTTAAAAAGGAGACAGAAACCTGAATTTATGAGGGATGGCTGAGCTTCCCCCCAGAATACAAGCCCCAGGATTCTGGATCCCCAAGGCCTCAGAACCAAGCTGGAGAGCAAATTGGAAGGGAGGGAGGGAGAGTGGGCACCTGCACCCGGCAGAGGCGGGGGGCACCCCCTGGTGCACCCACTGCAGGGCTCGGCAGTTGCCTTTCTCTCCCTCGAGGCTCCACTGCCTGTACCCTCAGGACACGAGGGACAAGGGAAAACGAAGTACTCGCGTAAGACGATCCCAACCGGACGCCCGATGTTCTAGGCGAACATTGGCACAACGCTCAATTGTAAATGTTCATACTGTTTCCGAAGTAAAATCAAGTTTGAAGAAATATAATATGCCCTAATTTGGTTTCTCTGCAACTCCAGTGAACAAAGGGTCTGCGTTTCTATTCACTTACAATCAGATCTAATTTTCTTCCCCCAAGTAGCAGCTTGCTTGCTGCTCTCGATAACAAAAGAGACCTCTCTGCAACTCCCACACTCCCAAATTTATTTGGGCATTACACTATTCCTAGCAATTATCATCACTCAGAGCTAATCTGAACACACGCAAGCCACGCTCCCCCACACAGGGCAAACGTCACTTCCCCCAAAGACAGGGGCAAAACATACCATTAAGAAATCAACTTTGGAACAACGGCACTCTCTCCGCACCTGGGACTCAAATCCACACAGGAAATCACTTGCCACTACATTTCTAAGCTGCGCGCGATTAAATTAAAAATTAATAAAGCGGCACCGCACAGCGTGCTCGGCCAGCGTTAACTCGGCGAATCCTCCCGGCCCCTGCAGTAGGCCCCTTTCCAGATTAGAAAACTGAAGCAAGAGGACATGCGGCATTTGCTCAAGGGCCACTTCACAAATAAGGGCCGGGAGCTGCGAGTTTGTGTGCCAGGCAGACGGCTCTGTGCAGAGGAGGCCGGAGGAAGCCCGCACACTCGGGTCCCCTGCGGCTCCATCTGCTTCACGACAACGCAGCTACAGGCTCCAAAAGGAGCCGACTCTGTGCTCCACACCTGTGTGGTGTCCACTGCTTCCTTAGCACACCGCCACGGCCTGGGCAGCCTGAAAGCTCCCACACTCACTATCTCACTTTTCTGGGTCGGACACCAGTGGTTCTGGGGCTGGAAGCCAAGAGCTCCTGTGGGAGGCTCTGGGACGACTGTTCCAGGCGCATCCAGGGTGTTGACAGAATCCAGCTGTGAGGGTGGGACTCAGGTGCCTGCTCCCTTGCTGGCTGTCTCCTGGGGGCCTCTCTCTGGTCCCAGCAAGTGGACCCCCATCTCAGGGCCAGCAGCTACGGGCCGGGACCTTCCCTGGCACAGGGTCTCTCTGACATGCCTGCCTCATGCTTCTGGGCCCTCTCCCGTGACCAGCCGGAGGAAGGTCTCTGCTTCCAGGCCCATGTGAATATCGCAGGAGCACGTCCTCATCTGCTTCATACCTTAATCACAGCTGCAAAGTCCCTGTGCCATGTCACTCGTCACAGTCACAGGTTCTGGGGAGCAGGACATGGACGTCTGGGGGTGTGCGTCGCACACCAGCCTGCAGTGCAACCTGGAGAACATGCTGCCCATTTTTACCCAGTCCTGGGGACAGGGTCTGCCGCATGGACACAATGTTACTGTGTCTGGACAGAAGACCGGCCTTGTTGGGGGGCAGGGCGGGGGGCGGGTTGGTGATGGAGAAGTTCATCTGGCTCAGTGTGTCAGTTGTACCAAAATGTCCAAATTCATGCCTGTGCTAATAAACCACATCTGTAAAGTGACCCTCCAAAGTCAAGTCCAAGGGGAGAAATGAAAAGGCTGGTAAATCTCACAGGGAACCCCCAGAAAGTGATTGGGGAGTTGGGGAGGCAGGGAGTGAGCAGAGGCAGCAGGGAGACAGACCAGCACTTCCTGCCTTTGCCCAGGAAGCAACACATCACCTATTGACTCCTTTCCCCATTGGCACATAAAGAACCAAAGTGTCTCATCTGCAGACAATGAACTCTAACAGACTCCAAGCACTTGCAAACAATGAGCTGTGATTCATGTTTCCAAATGAGATGGAGTTTTATCATTTTCTTTCCCCTCGTGATTCATTCATTGGCCAAGCCAGTGGCCGAGTGGAAGCATGGCCCCCACACAGACCTCCCTGCCCCTCCCAGGGCCCTTCCAGGACGGCACAGCCCTGCCCTTAGCCTCCAAAACACAATGGCTGGGGAGGGAGAAAGCCAGTAATTTTCCCTTAGGCTGACACAGCCAATTAGCAAATGGGACTGAATCCCTACATCCAGAGCTCACTAGTCCTGGGCCAGCACCCTTCTGGGGACCAGCGCAAACTCACAGACAAGGATGCACCCCGCCCTCCTCCCTCCCTGCACAAAATCAGGGAGCCGGAGCCTGGGGTCCTCCCTGGCAGGGCCTCTAGGTTCTGAAAGTTCCTTCCGGGATGGAGTGATTTGTGCCAGCTTCCACGCGGGTCAGCAGGCCACCTGATGCAAGTAAGCAGAGCAACCCACCTGAGAGCCCCAGTCTTCCTAGAACTGCCCAGAGAAACCTTCCATGGGGCTTTCTTTAGAACCTTTCCAACATAGAGTTTTCTTAGAACCAAAGTATTGGCCAGAGCTGCAATGTTAGAAGTCACCACTGGTGGTGAAACTTCTGGGAGGTGTGAGACTAAATGCGGAGGCTCTGACCTCACTCAGGGAGGAGACCCTGCCCCTCCCTGCATGTGCAAACCTTCCCTTTGACCTTCTGAGGACAGGCAAGCTACTCTACAGGTGTCCAACCTACGGCATCCTCACTGCCACCATCCAGGCCACCCTGAGAGCTGAGGAAGGGTGTCAAAGTCCCTCCCCCATCTCCTGCTGACAGGCACAATGGGGCCTGCCTGAGCTCTTGAGGCAAGGCCAGGGTGTGAATCCAGAATGCAGGGATTACTCATGGCTTGAGTGTGGGTGAGCCCCTGTGCAGGGGCAGCGACCCTGTCCCTGCAGCACAGGACGGAGAATACAGCCCTGGGCTAAAGCTACAGCTCGCCCCGCCTCCCCACTTGCCTCGGGCCAGTCCCCAGAGCCCAGCTCCTGCTCCACCTCCCAGTGCCCCGTTCCCTGCGGGTCTGTACCCAGCTCTCTCCTCACACAGGTCAGCCCAGCAGATTCACCACACCACACCCATTTCAAGCAGAATCTCTGTCCCAAACCTCCCCCATCACACGCCGACACGTGGGGACACTCTGTCAGGAGGTGCCCTGGACCATACCGGCCCAGAGGCGCACATGGCGCTGCTGCTGACTGGCTCGGCTCCCAGGGGCAGGACGCCCACCTCTGCAGCTGGCCTTGGTGCAGTTTGCACCTTGGTGTCCTGATCTGTACAGGGGAGGGGAGAGGCCCCCAGCTCCACCCGGGGAACAAGCCAAGTGCAATCTAGGACTGTCTCGGGGCTGTCCCCATGCCACTGTCCAAGCCTGGTCCATGGCATATCCCTGACACCTAGCAGAGATAAGCAACTGGGGTCACAGAAAGGAGAGCCTGAGGGCTAGAGCCACCTTGGAGGCTTCCCAAGCTCAGAGAGTCTGGACTGAACCAGACCAGCAGTGAGTGTGGGCAAGACACTCCTGGAACAGGGGCGTGGCTGTAAAGACTCAGAGGTGAAGACAGGGGCCCTGAGGAGGACACGACCTGGCAGGCAGGGGAGGCCAGGCAGAGGTCACAAAGGCCTTACAAGTCAGGCAGAGGCAGGTGGTCCGACTTCTTAGGGCTGCCAAACAGGAAAGGCGACACTGAAACCCAGCAGGGAGGACCCAGAGACCACCGTTGGGGCAGCCACTGCCAGTCTGGTCTGGTGGGCCAGTCAGAGAAGGCAGGGGCCCAGGCCAGGGGGGCTGCAAATTCCCCAAGAAGGGCAGCCGAGCACACAGGGCCAGGTCTGTTTGTTTTGCCGCTAAGAAAAGCATCACCCTCTGGAACATATACTGGGTCCCAAATGTAAACTTGCAACAGACTCCCTCTGCTACTCTCCCCAGGAAATGACAAAGCGCAGTGGAGAGGCCAAATCAGGTCCCCCCCTTCCTAACCCGGTCCCCCGGGTCCCGGGGACACAGGAGCGCCTGGCCGCTTCTCTGCGAGGGTCCCGGGCTGTCCAGGCGGAGCCCCCAAGTGGCGGGTGGCAGTGCGATCTGATGGGCCCGCCTGGGTCGCGCATGCCACTTCCCACTGGGGAACGGCACAAGTCTTCGCTTTGATCGCGGCAACTTGAAACTGTCCTCCCGGGGCCCCAGACGGCGGTGAACACAACTCCATCTGAAAAGCCGAAAGGCTCGCAGACAATGACCCCAGCTTCACGGCCGGACCCAGCGAAACGCAGGCTTCGCCGGGGGCAGCGCGGGACCTACGAGTTAAGGGGGCGGTCCCGGAGCGCCTGGAAGGCTCCGCCACCGGGGTGCTCGCCCCAGAACTGGATGTCGAACGGGGACACCCGGGAAGTGACACTACCCGCCCCCCCCACCCCGCGTGTCCCCAAACCGGCCCGCCTGGAGTCTCGCGGGGGCGCGGGGACAGCGCGCGCCTCGGGAACGGAGTGGGCAGTGCCCCGCGCACGGGTGCGCGGGGGCCAGGGCGGGCGAGGCGGACACGCTTCCTCCCTCCCGCGTCGCCGGACCCCAGGCCCCCGGCGCACCCCCCACCCGGCGTCCCGCCGAGTCCCGCCGCGTCCCCCGCCCGGGAGCGCCGCGCCGCCGCGGGAAGTCAGCGCGAGCGGCGGGCAGGCCGGCGCGTGCTCACCCACGCCGTATTTCTCCTCGCGCTTGGTGGGCACCCAGCGGGTCATGGCGCCGCGCGGGCCGCGCGCCCCAGGCCGCCGGGACCGCCGCCGCCGCCGCCGCTGCTCGGGCAGGAAACTCGGCGCCTAGGCCGCCATTTTCCATTCCTTTCGGGCCGCGGCAGGATGGGGAGGAAAAAGTTTGCGGCGGAGGCGGTGTCATGTGGGACGGGGCGGGCGGAGCATCGGGGCCGGATGGGAAAGGCCGGGAGCGCCGGCGAGAGGCGGGACGGCCCGTGGCTGCGCGCCCGCCCTCACGCCGGGACCTTGGCCGCCTAGCTCCGCGCCGCCGCCGCCCTCGACTTTGGAACAACTACCCCTTCCCGGGGGTCCCAGCCGTACCACCGTACGCCCCCACATTCACTGCCCACGGACACCCCCAAAGGAACTCCCCAGCACCCCGCAGGGGTGTCTTCGTGATCGGTGGAGGCTCCCCTGGCTTCAGTGAGTTCTGCTGGGGGCTGGATGTGGAGCGATGAGAGGGCTAAGCCCGCGGGGAGAGGGTCGGGGCATTCTAGGCGACTTTTGAAGGGTGTGGTTTGCTGGGCATGGAGTTAGACCGCTGCCCCGTGATACAATGTCCCCGACTCAGGCTCAGCCTTGGTGGAAGGCACACCCAGGAGGAGATCCCCTGAAAGGAGCCTTCCAAAGCATGTGGTTCATTCATTTGACAGACATTAACTGAGCACCTACCCAGTGCCTGGGTGTGCCAGGGGCACCCAACTAGCCAGGCTAGGCGTTGGGGAGGTAACAACAGATGGGTTGGCTCTTAGTGCTTGGGCGGGACACCTGTGTAGGTGGCTTCAGCGATGGCCAGACAGTGCTTTGCAGGGAGGCGACCCTTGCTGGAGTGTTGAACAGTAACCCATACAGGCCAGGAGGGAGGGGCAGGCTAAAGGCCAGAGACCTCAGCCTCCTAGTGTTTGTAGAACCTCTGGGGCGTGAAGTGTAGGGAGAGAGGGAGAGAGGGAGGAGGAAGAGGAGCAGGCTGGGAAAAGAAGCTTCTGGCCAGGCCTAGCCAAAGCCGCAGGCCCTCGAGGAATCTGGTCTTCACCTTGTAGGTCAGTTCTCAGACCTTCCTGGTTTTCACACCAGTAAAAGTCGGGGCTTCAGATTTCTTTAAGGCAAAACTCAAAACAACACTCATACCTATTTATTTTTACCATAATTTTGAGAAAGAATAGAGAGGGAAAAGAAGTTGGCCTCAGATTGAAGGCAGCCCATTAAATGGGGTCAATTTTGTTCCATGGAATACTGTCTTCTCTCTCTTGACCCTGAGAACCAGTGACGATGGCAGTCACTGGGAGCCATTGTTAGGCCTGGGAGCCTTCAAGGACTGGGGGACGGAAGGTAAGAAGGACGAAGGGCCCCATGGAGTAGGGACAGCGGTTGGGTGGTGGAGCTGGAGAGGCAGCCGGTAGGGCCTGGGAAGAGCCGAGTGGTCCACCATTCTGCTGCAGAGAATGCCCATTGCCCGGATAACCTGGACTTGACAGCTGGTGGTGAGTCAGCCACAGAGTCATCTCAAGTGACAGACCTGGCTTACTGATAAGGAACTGAAGCCCTACAGAGGGAGGGGCCTGGGCTGCAGTCACAGGCACTAAGAGCCTTTGGTGAGCATTTGAAACCCCAGAGGCTCACGGCCTCATGATCCCCCTCGAAGGACAAGCATCTGTGAAAGTGCGGTGCAGAAGCAGGGAGCTCCACAGCAATGGCCTGGTGGCCCGACCTCCTCTCGGCAGGTTGGGGCCAGGCTTTAAGGACAAGCAGAAACTAGGTAGGTGGATGGCTGCAGAAACAGCGTGTGCAAAGGCCCTGGGGCGGGAACAACACAGACCTTCAAGAACTGAAAGGCCGGCGGGGCTAAAGCACAGGGAACAGCAGGAATGGGGCACAAAACCGGCCTGCAGTACACGAGCCTTCTAGGCCCTGCTAGGAATTCAGATTCTGTAAAGAAAAACCTGGAGAACAAATGTTATTATACTCACCTCTCTTTCACGCCCACTTTCAATGCTGGTTGCATGGCTATGTTACCACACAAGAGTTCACTGCCAGACGTACGATGAAGCCGATACTATGACATCGGCTTTTGAGAAAAGAGAGATTTAATGTTAAATCGGCTCGTATTGGCACGGTTCAAATCTCTCCTGTTCAGGGTTCAGAGCAGGTTTTCGGGTTCGGGGGAACACATATGTGGAAGCTCTGGGGGCGGGTTTTCATTGGAGGACCTTGGAACTTGGCCACTTATCCTGAGAGGCTTCAGCACTGCATCTCCCCGGACACAGGATGCTTCCCTCTGAAAGCGTTCCGGCGTTCCAGTTCCGGTTCCGTCCCGGCCCTTTGGTTCCGGGTGCCGCTGGAGGTCAAAGTTGTCTGCTCTGCGCATGCTTGGGCAGCCAGCCCCGTGGTTTCGGGCTGTCATCTCTGGAAGGGTTTTCAGTAACTTGTCAGAAACGGAACAGGACCCTTTGGAGCTGGTTCTGTGTTACCGCTGTGCGGCAGGAAGGTGTGCGTGGCCGTGGAAGGCCCAGGGCTGGGCAGCCACACCCGCCTGGGAGGCCAGGTGGCCTCCTCACAGCCCGCCGCGGGACCCTTCGGCTTTGGTTTCCGGCCGTTCTTCTGTTTCCAGGCCTTAGGACTCTGATATTCCTACGAACCAGGGCTCAGAGTACGACCTCAGGGCTCTTCGAGGACCACGGGAGGAGCTGTGCCCGCACGGTAAGACACTCACTGTGGCCGGCTCCCTCATGTGGCACTGCCTCCAGGTTCCTGGGTGACCTCGAGCTCAGAGTGTCTACAACAGGGACCACTTCCCCACAGACAAAGCAAACTGAATGGATGTGGTGTGGGATTCGTGCACTTCTGTAAGACTGTGGTGTAAGGACACTTCTAAATTGGAAGTGTAGAACACCAGAAGGACCGGGGCCCACATGTGTGACACAGTGAGGCGTCTGTGCCATTGTCACGTGTGCCCAGTCTGGGCTGAGAAGTCCTACATGTGGCCGCTGTCCCTCGGCTGGTTCGTCAGTGTCCCCGCTTTTCTCTGGCAGTGGTCTCCTCCTGCAGCTCCGAAGTGTGTCCCGGGCTGTGGCTCTTGGCCCCAGGGCTACATGAACTCCCATTGGATCCCGGACCCCAGGAGCCCTGCGGGCACTGGCCAGTGGGCATTTTTAACTCCTGAGTTCGAGTACACGCTTCCAGAGGAGTGTGACCAGGTTGCTGGTCACCTGACCAGGGAGGAACGGGGTCTCACAGTATTTAGTTGCTGCCCTTTGCCAGTGGCAAATCTTGGCATCGTGTTAGGAGACCAGGCGGGTGGTCACAGCGCGCCATGCCACACAGTACAGATTGTGTCATTGAGGCTTTCCACTGACTTTCAGTCAACAGGAAATAGAAGAGATTGAGGGACAAGTTAAATGACACCACAAGAAATACAGCCAGATGAAGCTAGAAGGTGGGGCCCTGGCCGAGTAGCTCAGTTGGTTAGAGCATCCTCCAGATACACCAAGGTTGCAGGTTTGATCCCTGGTCAGGGCACATACAAGACTCAACCGATGAGTGCACCAAGATGTGGAACCACAAATCAATCTCTCTCTCTCTCAAAAAGAATAAAAATTAAAAAGCTGGAAGGTCGGGCCTTCTATGAGACGCTGGTTTTCAACAAGTCAGTGGTATTGGAAAAGAATGGGTAGATGTTAACATGTGAGATTTTTAAAAGACTCAAGGATGTGACGTTCCAATACAGTGCTGGTCCTTGACCAGGTGCCACTCCCAACAAACCAACTCATGAAGATGCTCGGGACCAGAGCAGGCTTTAAATATTTTTAAATGTAGTATTTATTTTGTTAGGTGTGATAATAGTATTCCTGTGGTTATGTCAAAACAAGTCCTTACATGTTAGAGACGTATGCTCATGTGGTTAGAAGGGAATGGTCACTGGGTTTGCCCTTTATTCCAATGTTGTAGAAAAAAGAAAGATGAAGCAAAACTGTTCAGTCTAGGCGACAGGTCTATGAGTGCATCATCTGTCTCTGTCTGTACGTGGGCGTGTGTATGTTTTAAGTCTTTTATGAAATAAAGTGGGGGAAAGGAAGGGTTTAGGACTTAAAAACCAGCTTGAGAAACAGTTAGCCCAGACTGACCTCACGCCAACGGCCCAAGCGCCGCCCTGCCTCGCAGGCGCTCTGCTCAGCATTTTCCCTGAAGATTCCCCAGGGCAGACGCTGGCTGTTAAACTTCTACCAGCTCCGCAGTGCAAACACGCTGTTCAGTGAGGGCGCCGCGGGCTGCCCCGGTGTGCCTGGTGGGCAAGGGCGCCTGCGAGAGCACGTGCAGACAGAGCAGTCCCTCCCACGCTGAGCACACAAAGAAACGAGCCCTGGCAGCAGGTGGAGCCTCAATTCTGGGCTGCAAGGGCTGTGCTAATCTATGCCTTGCCCCTGGAGGCTGGATGCCCACGACCCCCACCTTCGCCTCCACCCCCAGGTCTCAGGGTCCTCAGGCAGTGCCAGGTAGCCCTTCACAGGGTCAGCCAGACACTTGACCAAGACGCTGGCAGCTGTCTGAGCAAGTTACCCAAGAGCTCTGAGTCTCCTTGTTGTTAAAATATCTGACTTCCAGGGTGTCATCATGTTAAAATAATGGTCGCAAACTGAAAGGTCGCAGGTTTCATTCCCGGCCAGGGCACATGCCTGGGTTGTAGGCCAGGTCCCTGGTTGGGGGTGCATGAGAGGCAACCTGTTGATGGATGTTTCTCTCACAAATCCATGTTTCTCTCCATCTCTTTCTCCCTCCCTTCTCCTCTCTCAAACTAAATAGAATCTAAATAATAATAATAATAATGGTAGCAGAGCTTAACAGGGGTGGGGGCTTCAGAAAAAACAACAGTTCTCAGATATCAGGAGGTACAGGACTGAGATCTCTGAAAGACAGGAAGTGAATGAGTGAGCCCTCTGGTCCGTTGCCCAGCTGGCTTCCTGGAGGTGGTGTCTGGGCTGCTAAACGGGGGGGAAGAGCTCACCTGAGCCCGGGGTCCCACTGAGTGGAAACAGTGTCCGCGGTTAGAGAAGCCAAGGCTGCTAGGACTTGCAGGTGGGAGAAGCCAGGAGGAGGGGCCGCCCACAGAGGGAGGGCACGGGAGACCTGCGGCG